CGAGGAACGTGTTCTTATGTGAGATCATGCTCTCGGCGGCGCCGACCGTTCAATGAAAGCTTGCCATTGCCATTGGTCCAAAAGCCCAGACGGCCGCCCTAAGCATCCGCACCACCTTAATGGCCCCACTTCGGTTACAAGCTCTCGCTAGTGAGCTCGGCGAGAGTTGGCGGTCTGGACGAGTATTTAAGCTGGTGTTGTGGAGTGTGGATTAGCGAGGTGGTGCTAAACACTAAGCTGAGGTGACACTGTGACAGGTACAACGGTGGCTCGGAAGTGGGCTTTCCTCAACAGTGAGTCGCAGCACGAGACAAATGAAATAGTCAGTCCACATTTGGAACACGGGCCTGGTTAATTGTCCATCGGTTATGACTAGCGTCTTGGCTTTGCTAGAACTCAAAACAAGATGCAAACTGCAATTCCGGCAAATAAATGAAGTAAACTGAGGTGAGTTAATGTATTTATTCAGAGGCCAAGTGGTTATTTTTTTCAAACATGACACTTAGATCCAAGATAGAAAATTTGCATCTCTCAGTTTATAATTTCTGGTACAATTCTTTGCTGAAATTCCGTGGCCAAGAAATATGGAAACTAGGAAGCAAACAAGCACGACCAACTACATCAATCCTCAAAAGGCTGTAAAGGTCCCTAGCCAAGAACATGTCTTTCCTGTTAATGGAATGCACATGCGTAGCAATCTTCTGCCAGCAGGTCCCAAATCGTGAACCCCGCCCGCCTCAGCAACTTGTTGGATTGGATGGATCAATGATACCAAAGTTTATTACATGCCGAGAATAACAGATCTGCACAAGCGTCAAGATCAGAAGGTCATGGCGATGCATTCCTCTCTTATAGCTGCAAAGAGATCGGAGTTCATGTATCTCTCGCCACCACTAGGAAACACAGTGACAATCATCTTCCCTTTGTTCTCTTGTCTTGATGCCACCTAAAAATACATTTGATTTATTTAAAATATAAGGTAAGGTGAGCAAAGATACGAAAGAATGCATGGAACTACATCCAGTCAGAAAAATTAAAGAGTTCGCGATAGTGCTAACCTTCAGGCAAGCTGCCAGATTTGCTCCAGATGATATGCCAACTAGCAGGCCCTCTTCCCTGGCCAACCTCCTAGCGTTTGCCATTGCATCTTCTGCAGTTACTGTAATGATCTCATCAGTGATTGAGGTGTCCAAGTTCTTGGGCACAAATCCTGGGCCGACTCCCTGAATTTTATGCCTAGAAGGCTTGCCACCTGTAACAAAATCAGCAAAGCTATTATCAAATCAATTTAACTCGTGTAGCAAAATCATTGCAAGTGACCAATTTAGATTTTTTTAGTCTTTTTTATTTCTTGTAGCATTTTATCATTCGATGAGGTGTTTTATGTTTACAACTTTACATGATTGCAGGGCTAGCAGTTTACCTGAAATAACTGGACTCTCAGAAGGCTCAACACAAATGACCTTCACAGCTGGGTTCTTCATCTTCAAGTATTTGCCGACACCAGAAACAGTACCTCCTGTGCCTGAACCGGCCACAAAGATGTCTACTTTGCCTGCTGTATCCTTCCAAATCTCAGGTCCTAAGTACAAATGGACAGAGGTGATGTATCATACAACATGACATTTTCTGATCCGGATAAAAAAATGCTGCTAATGTTTCATAGGTAAGTTCATTTATCACTCTTATGTGATTAGATGGTCCTTTGTAAAGATAATTACCAGTCCATTTAAAGTGTGCTTCAGGATTTGCTGCGTTTGCAAACTGGTCAAGAACATGCACATTGGGTATTTCTTTCTTGAGCTGTTCCACCTTGTCAAGTTGTCCCTGAAAGCCAAGCGTAGGATCTGAAAACAGCATAGCATTGGATAAGAATTCGTAATATAAGCCAGTCCTGCAAATGCGAAAACTAAACAGACATCAAATGCACTACTCCATTTTTTACATTGGTCTCAAGGCTCAAGATGACAGTATGTGCTCCATAGCTGCAATCCTTACCAGTTAACACCAAATCGGCTCCCAGGTACCTCAGCAAGATCTGCTTGTCAAGTGAGTACTCGGCAGGCATGACTGCAACGAATCTGTAACCTCTGGTCAAAGCAATGTACGCCAGACCTATGCCCATATTGCCGCTCGTCGGCTCAACCAGTGTTGTGATGCCAGGCGAGATCAGCCCTTTCTCCTCTGCATCTTCAATCATTCTGTGAAGAACATCAGTCACAGTGCCGGCCATTGGTAATGGACCAATGAAATAACATGGATTACTTTCTGATAGAGACTGGATAGTAATGTTTGCATCAGCGAGTAGCTTCAACATGACACGAGTTCAAACCCTAGATAATACCTCAGAGCGCTGCGGTCCTTGACGGAGCAGAGGGGCTGGTAGCACTCCAGCTTGCCAACAATCCGGGCGTTGACGTTGTCCTTCTCAGCTATTCTCTTCAGTTCTATCAGTGGCGTCCATCCTACAAGCTGCAGGGAAACTGGGGTTGATACATATGTATATGGCAGTTCAAACCAACCCTAAAATACATGGAAATAAATCTTCACAAAAAAAATGCAAACAAGCAAGAAAATAAACTGAAAAAAAGTGGAAACCGATGCCAGGAGCCCAGGACAGAGAGACTAGATGGCCTCACCTGGGTAATATCAGAGGCGATGTGCTCCTGCTGCAGAGAAGCGGCTTCGGTTTCAGCCGGCACCGGTGATTTCAGCAGCGAAGGGATCCCTCTCCTCCCTGCCCCTTCCTCCATGCTCTCTTCTTGCTCTTTTAGTCCTTTCTCAGTGAAACGGAAGAGCGAACAGTGTGTTGCTCTTCAGCTATCTCGATCTACTGACTCCTAGCACTACTCTATTTCATCTGCAAGACTATACTTTATACAAAAGTAAGTACAATTACCTAATAAACAAGTAGTGTTACCTAGTTAGGAGCATGGATCCAGCGGGTGGGCGGTGGGCCTGAGCTCCTCCTGCCCACTGCAAGCCCTAAAGCCCCTCCGTGAGCCCTGCTTCGTTTTTGAATGCATAGAAGATAGGAGGGGCTGGAGGCTGAAGGTTGAAGATGAAGTCTCTCCTTCAGGCTAAGTCTGCATCCACCCCTAAGTATTTCACAGGCTGAGCGCATTTTTTTTAACTCAGGATGAGTGCATGTTGCTATCCAATGTGCTCTCAAGTCTCAACTATCCAAAACGTCGCCTTCAAGCAGTTACCATTTCCATGGAAATTCTCAGGATATGGAGGCATGGAGCGCCTACGATCACCGGTTATGAGGTTTTCTGTGCGAAAACGATGCAAAACATAAGCACTCCTCAGTTCTAATTACGAGATGGGGACAAACATCTGCAGACAAGCACAGTTATACAGTTATGCCTGCAGCTTCGTCGTTTCATGCATGGCTGGCACGTTCATTTAAAATCGTGTACGTTTTGTTGTTTATTTCTTTTGTCCATTGACACTCGACTTTGCTTGAAAGTTGAAGCACAGCATTTGAATTTGAATTACACAAAACATCTAGAGCCTTAAGCTCACCATTATGTCAGTCCACAGTACTGACTGTTCCTTTATGTCAGTCCACAGTACAACTTTGAAAAGCCAGACCTGAGACACCAGTCACGCCACTTGTTCCTTACGCTAGGTCCATGAAAATTATTTGCAATCCAGTGCAGAACTACTCATGATTATCTAACAAAGCATCCTAGCCTTCAGGGAGCCGGCCATGCTATACACGGCACACTCGATTGGAAAGGTGCGAAAGAGTTCAGGCTATGGAGATCGATTCCTCCCCAGCATTTGATCCTGCATATTGAAAAGGCCAACAATTTTACTACAGCCATGATGCATTCAAAATTCAGATGCAAAATTAGTGAGCTGCTCATTTTCGCAATTACTTGCCACAAGCAATGTACATGTGATGCTTTTGTTTTGGAAAGAAAATGCACATGTGATGTTGCGAGCCAAAGATTTCTAGTTCAAGAAGCTGAGAAGGAAAAACAAATCACCTCACTGCACACTTGTTAAGGGACTCTTATGGTAAAGCCATGCCAACATATACAGATAAGGAATGGTTGATGGACAAATTGTGAATTTATAATACCTTACTAACAAAAGAACAAATATGCATACTCCACACCTCCAATGCATTTTAAGTTGCTACTTCTCTTCTCTCAGAGCAAATAAAACAGAGAACATGGACAACCAGAACATCTACCATTGAGACATGGACTGCATGATAATTTCAGTTTTGACAAAGAATAAATCCATTCTGCACATCACATTGTTAAGTACCAATATTAGACTTTTTTTTTAAAAACCAACCAGTATAAGACTGTTAGTACAATATGAATGAAGGTGCCTAATACATGAACAAGGAAAAGAGCATAACCGCACATTTGCAGAATTGCAGCTACAATAAACCCTTGATGTGCATTTCGTGCTTTTTATGTAATCTCATTCAATCTGGGTGACAATATAGCCTAAGCTTTTTTTTTATAACAGAATCATGGAACCCAAATATGCTAACTGGACAGGAAACGAAACTTCAAATGGATAAAATGGTAAGCAAATGGCAAAACTGTAACTTATAAGCAATTCTCTCACATATGGCTCCAAGAGAGCAAGTGTGCAACCACAAACTGATTTGCAGGTCGGAATTTTGGCATTATATGATGTGTTGTTAAGTCCCTACATACACTCTTCACGCAGAAAATTGTAAATTCAGTACAGTATAGAGAATGGCATCATACTAGTGCAGCAAAGCACCTTGGCCTGTCAAGTGCAGAGCATAATCTCCACACTTATAGAACAGCGAAATCTCACTAGCTTAGTGGCATTTCAACCTACTAGATCGTATAACAATTCGGTATGGACGAGATTGCAAACTAAATGAAGTTCTGAATTGCAACTACTATACGTTTCCATGCCAATCAAACATGAAATTTTACCGGAATAGTATGCTCTACAAGAAAAAATACAGTATCAAATTATCTACCACACTAATCAGATCACTGCGGCGAGCACTGGGGGTACCCACCTGGCAGCTTGGGCGCGGGCGGTGCGGGCTCCTCCTCGCCGTAGATGTGGCGGAGCCGGGACAGGGAGATTGGGGACGAGGGCGCGGCGGCGAGGGAGAAGAGCTCCTCCCGCCAGGCCCACATGGCGGCGGACATGGAGGCGTTGGTGGCTCGGAGGGAGCGCTTCTTGGCCAACAGGCCCTCGATCTCGCGCTGCTGCTCTGACGACCGCCACCCCAGCACCACGAACGAGCCCAGCAGCAGGGCGCTGACCACCTTCTCCCGGTGCTCCGTCAGCTTCGCCCTGATCCCGCGCAGCGCCGCCTCCATCTCGCCCCCTCTCGTCGTCGTCTGCGCAGACTTGCCGAGTGCCGGCGGCGAGGCGAGCCGTGCGGTTAGTCGGGCCCAGCCGTGAACGCGACAACGGCCCATCGGGACGCAGCGTTCAGTTGGCCGCATGTTGGGGGCCCAGTTCACAAAGATTTGCAGGTTTGCGTTATTTTTAAATTTTTTAGGCAGCGCACGTTTTGTTTTTTCATCGCCTAAGGAACAACAATATATTTTTTAAAGGAAGGTAAAAATTTTGCAGTGAACAAGAAAAAGAAATAAATATTTTTTCAGCTTTTTTTAAAGTAACCAGGTCAAACTCAACACCACTAGCGAGCGTGGCTATTTGACTCATGCTTACATTAAGCAATTGTACATGTGAAACTGCAGTTCGTTTCCATCACCCTGTGTTGCTACTTCAGCCTCCCTTGCAAAGTGGTTGTTTTTTCACATGGCACTTCCCTGTCCTAAAGTAGGAGAAGCATTGTAGTACATAATCTTTAATCAACGTGTTGACCAAACAAGTTTTTTAGTCAACGATTGAACAATTATTACAAATAAAAACATGGTTTTTAGCTACGATAAATTACCTTGAATGGTTGACTTTTTGGCATTAACTAAACAAAAACATTTTAGTTTACCGATAAAGCGAGCTAATAAGTTCAAGCGAAGAGAGCATTTTAATAGATACAATGCTTGTCCCATATCACTTATTAACCGACCAAATATTGACTAGGCTATCAAACATTTAACAAACGTGGAAAGTTCAGATGAAGGGAGAATACATCACCTTTGCCTCCGTCCCATCAGAAGGTTTAATGGCATGGTTGACTATAAATAAAAAATAAAACTAAACAAAGTATTTTAGTTTAAATTCACGAGACAAATTTTTTAGACTAATTAGACTATAATTGGACACTAATTGTCAAATAACAACAAAAATATTTTCTCTCACAATAAACTCATTTTGTAAAAAAATTTACATCTAAACTTTGAGCAAATTCATTCTAGTGACCAACCTCCCTTTAATCCTCAATTGCTCTATTGCCATGATAGATAACATCATCATTCAGCAGTTATCCAAACTCATGTGGTTAATTTATATATGCCAGTTCATAACCAAGAGATTATTTTACAACATGAAAACGAATACGAAAGAAAGTGATCTCTACCTGTCCACGTCCACCTGTCCCCGTCGTCCACCTTGACAGACAACTGGCCCCATCTAATACTCCATATATATGTCCTTAATGTTCGGGCGTTGGCCAAAAAGACCCTAGTTCGGGCGTTGGCCAAAACTGAGAGGCGGCGACAGCCACGTACAAGGCACGCCGCGTAGGGGTTCTTCTCCTCAGCTCCTCGCGCCGCTTCCTCGCTTGGTAGATACGGAAGCGGGCGGTGGTGGTGGCGGCGGCGGCGAGTGCGAACCAGTGGAGGAGGCGCGAGACCCTCACCGATCTTTTAGGAATTTTTAGGAGTGGAGATAACCAATTTTCTTCCACTCCCACTCGCGCACAGTTACAGCGCACTCGAGCCCGGCCAATCTTCCACCACCGAGAAACTTTCCCCCCGATCTGTCTCCTCACCGTCCCGTCGGCATGCACGACATTGGCCTCTCCGCCCGCGCGGCCGGCGCGACGTCTTCCTCCTCCGCCTCCGCCGCCGCCGCCGCCGGCGGCGGGGACGGCGGCGACGAGTCCAAGACCCGTAAGGCGCACCCCGGCTTCGTCGTCGCCGCCGCCTACACCCGCCTGCACTCCTCCCATCGCGCGGTCGTCTCCCTGCTGCTCCTTCTCACCGTCGCCGTCGCTGCCTTCCTTTGGGGCCGCGCCCGCCCCAGCGTCGACTGCGCGCCGCCGCACCTCGATGCGCGCTTCCTCGCCCTCCCCGACGCCGCCGCCGCCGCCGCCGCCTCCGACTTTGGCTCCCTCGGCGTCCCCTGGTGTAAGCACTCGCGCCGCTGTTGCCTGTTGCTTGCTTCCTTTCTTTCAGAGAGAGAGATCGGGTTGCTTCGTTCAAGCACTCTGGTTCTTCTTCGTACTTTGCCAACCTAATCGATTCGTCTGGGGAAAAAATAATCCTCACATGCCAAACTAATCTGCCTTCTGTCTGAGCGTCTGATTGTTCTGTGTCTTAGTACTTTTCTGTATAGGTAATTCGCTTAGTCATTCCATAGATTCAGCTGAAATGCTGCCTGGTAGTCTGGTACTATCGTTTGAAACCTCGGCCGATGGTTTTTACTGCTGATAAGCCGGCTGATGCTTTTTTTTTTTTTGAGAAAAACACTGTACCATGATAAGTTCAAGTGAACAGAGCAGAGTTTGATAATTTGTAAGGGCCAACTGGCTACGTATAACCCACTGATTTTTCTTCAAAACGTCAGTCCATAACTATTGGCACTTCCTTGGTATTCCTCTAGAAATAGACTTGTTGGCTGTAATGAACAGTTATTTATGTTAGTAGGTTGTTCATGCTGTGAATTCTGAAGTGAGGTTTTTTTTCGATGATGCCACCCATAATTTCCTCGGTGTCAGTTTATTTGATACATTAAACTTACATTATATGGGATGCCAATATCTTATCCTTTTTCTCCATCACAAAAGGCAGATCAAAAACAGGGAAGACTGTGGAATGGACGTCTAAAGACCTACTTAATGGATTAGAAGAATTTGTACCAATATATGAGACACGCCCCATCAAGAATAATATGTATGGAATGGGCTTTGACCACAGTTTTGGGCTTTGGTTTATGGCTCGCTGGCTTAAACCGGATCTGATGATTGAGAGTGGTGCTTTCAAGGGGCACTCTACTTGGGTTTTGCGAAAGGCCATGCCAAATACTAGGATTATATCACTCTCTCCCAGGCACCCTGAGAAATATCTTAAGAAGGGACCTGCATATGTTGATGGAAACTGCACTTACCTCGCTGGGAAGGATTTTGTTGATTTTGGAAGCGTTGATTGGGGAAAACTATTGAGAAATCATGGCATTTCTGATCCCGCTAAGGTGCTTGTTTTCTTTGATGACCACCAAAGTGAGTTGAAAAGGTAAAATCTATTCATAAAACTTTTCTGTTTGTTTTTATCTTGATCGTGGTAAACTGTAATTCTGATTCCATGTACCATGTTTTTTAGTGTTTGCTTACTGCTCTTTTTTGTCACCAAATCCTAAGCATGGAAGTGACGAGAAATCAAGCAATTAATTTTTTTGCTTTAATACTTTTGTTTAAAACATATTATGCATAGGTTAAAGCAAGCGCTAAAGGCTGGATTCAGGCATCTCATATTTGAGGACAACTATGATACTGGTACAGGTGACCATTATTCCTTGAGGCAGATCTGTGATCAATCATACATCAGAGGTTTGTGGCTTGTCATCTTAGACTCAGTGGACTGCTTAGACTCTAAATAAATGTCCATAGTACAACAGATCCACTGTGCAACAGATCTGTGATCAATCATACATCAGATCTGCATCTTCTTTTAGTTAATGACAAGGAATGTATTTGTCAACATTGCCCATAGAGGAATGTATTTGTTTCCCCTTTGCTCACCTATCTAAGATTCATAGATTACCTGTTATGGAGCAAAGGGTTTTTATTAATCTGTAGTATTTGTTTGCGCACATTATTGTGATATGTTCTGTAGCCTGAAGATTCCTTGTGATAAAAGCATTGTATTATTCTAAAAGAACATAGTGATAGTGAACCATAATTGCAAAATATAATCACCACATTCTCTTGCATCCAGGTGGTGGACATAGCTGCTTTTGGGATAGTGATGAGGCAAGATTAAGATTTAAAAGGAAGAAGTTCTGGGAGAAGGCTGTGGAGATAGATGATCTATGTGGAAAGGATGATGCATGGTGGGGTGTTAAAGGTTACATGCGAGACAATTTCAACCATAGTAATAAGGCCATCTCGCACAAAGAGCATTTTCAGAACGGTAGGCTCGTGGAATCTGTGATGGATTTGTATTGGGAGCTTCCTCCTGTTGCTGGTCCATCCTTAACACATCAAACAAGGTACGACCCAGCACGTGCGGTTGACCCAATCATTGAAGATGGTCGCTACGGTTTGTTTCGAAAAATCAGTCTAGCAAGATTGGATGCCTCAGTGTTCAATGGTTACACTCAGATGGCATATGTGCAGATATCAGGTTCAATGTTGAGCATAGATGATGTTTAAAGATTTTTCGTGGTGAGCTTTTTTTTTTGGCTAACTGTTGATAGGCTTTTGTACAACACTGATGCACTTTCATGCTTACTCTATTTCTTGTGTGACCTTCCAAATATTAATGTTTACCAAATCACCTTCCAGATATTTATTATGAGGGTTGTATTTCTTGGGTAAGGTGACTTTTTTCTGTGAAATTTGGTTCTGAATAATCACGAGTACTTCTAGTGCCTACGCTACATTATAATAGCCAACCAATGACTTGTGTGCTCTTGTACGGATGTGTATATTATATTTGGTAGTGCCAATCCCCGGACGTCTGGACGGACACCCGCGCGCTGCATGCCGTTTTGCGCTCCATGTGGGGCCCGCTGCCCGAACGACAAGAGGGGAAGGGCATGTGGCGCCTCCGATTCAGAAAGACCTGGCCGTGGCGTCGTATGGATACTTTGTCGGCGCTGGGAAGAGGACACAATGAGACGATGCAGCAGAAGGTGGAGAGGAGAGATGCAACACCCAATAAACTTTTAAAACATTCAAATATAACAGTTGCAACATACGTCTGAAGGCAATTGAAATACTTGAAGCATGCTTCTGAAACATTTGAAAAACACACCTAAAAACACTTGAAAACCATTGCAACCATACGCAACATCCAAATAAAACATATGCAATGTATGTGTGAAACATATGCAACATCTAGATAAATACACTTGCAATATGCGTCCGAAAAACACAGATAAAACATACCTCTAAAACATCTGAAACACTCGAAACAACGCTTGCAACATGCCTCGAAAACAATTGCAACATGTGCAACGTCCTCCGATCTACTTTTGCAACATACATATGAAAACAAATGCAACATACATCTGAAACGCCTGAAATACTTGAAACATACATATGCAACATAGGGGATGGGAAGGCTGAGCCGGTCGATTCCGGCCGCCGCGGTGGGGTGGGGTGGGGGGAGCTCGGTTGCCAAGGTGAGAGAGGGCGTCGTGGGGAACGGTGGGGAGGGCGCCACGCTGCGCCAGGGTGGGGGAGAGCCGCCCACTCCCCTACAACACCGCGCGAGCCACCTCCATGGATTTCACTCGTGCTCCATGGATCTCGCCAGGGCGGGAGAGGGCTACCGGATCCGTGGGCGTTGGGCGCTCCCGGTGGGCGAGGATGCCGGGGTAGGGGATTGGTGCCGTTGGGGTGGGAGAGGAGGCTGCTGGGGTGGGGGAAGGAGCCGCCAAGGTGGAGGAGGAGGACGCCAGGGTGGGAGAGCGCGCTTGCCGGGGTGGGTGAGGGCGCCGCCACCGGCAAAGGAGGTAGCCATGTGAAAGCATCTAAACAATGCCTAGAGGGGGTGAATAGGCGTATCTAATTTCTGCGTAATCTCAAAATCAAATGTCGGTGATAGTCGGAAGTCCCGACAATTTGGGCCAGAACTTTCGGCAGTCGGAAGTTTCGACGCAAACAGCGGGGAGTTCTGTGACCTACGAGAATAGCACTACAAGTGCTAAAACGAACTTTGAGTGAAAGATATCCTACAACCCTACTCCCTAGTGTCAAGATGAAGTGTTGGGGTTGCTCCTTTGACGCCGGAAGGTCACCACTCCGTAGATCGAATCCAAACCCTAAGAGGAGAGATGGGGGGTAAGACAAGCCAATAAGAACAAATATGATAGCACAAATCACAGCAAAACAACAAGCACGTGGAACACAAGAATTTATCCCGAGGTTCGATAGCCCCACAAAGGAGCTCCTACGTCCTCGTTGTTGAGGTGACCACAAAGGTCGGAGTCTCTTCCACCTCCTTACCCCTCTCAAAGCAACCACAAAGGTTACTTGAGCTTTCCATTAAGAAATCGAGGGTGATACAAACTTTCCAAGGCTCTTCCACAAGATGGAAGCTCTTGGGCGACGCCTAGCCGGCTAGGGTTTCAAGAACCCAAGAGTAATAGACGTAAATCCAACCGGCTTGATGAAGAAATCAAGTGCTCAAGCTCGCCAAAGTGATTCTCTCACTCAATCCGCTCTCCTTTCACTTAAAACCCTAGGGGAATCGAAGATTGGAACACAGAGGAGAGGAGAGGAGAGCCTTGAATGCTTGGGAGCTATTTTGGACGAAGGTTGGTGAGTAATGAACGAGTGGTCCCGGTTAGAAGAGAGGAAAGAGCTATTTATACTCAAAGGCAAATCCAACCGTTCAGATCTGAGTCGGAAGTTCCGACACAGATCGTCGAAACTTCTGGCTCAACGTAAAAACACTGTTCATGCAGACAGACCACTTGGCTTGCTCGCATATCATCGGAAATCCCAGCTATTACCGTGACTTCGGACTTCCGTCGGGACTCTCGACAGACATAGCGAGCCAGGCAACTAAGTCCCAAAGCGTTAGGACTTCTGGTGGGAGCCGGGACTTCCGACACCCGGAACTCCCGACTCCCGTCGGGACTTCCATTGGGCGAAGGTGCGCAGGCGGGCTGCGGCTAAGTCGGCAAGCGCCGGGACTTCCGGCACCAAACATCGAGACTTCCGACTACCAAAAGTCCACAAACTAGTATTCGTGAGGTGACTTTGTGTCTCTCTTTTGATTTTATTTTTATGCTTGAACACACTATCTTTCTCAGACCACCTAAACTTGCATCCCTCTTTATAGTACGGCATGCTTAAACCCAAAACAAAACACAAAAGCTTTGGAGAGCGCTTTGGGTTCGTCCGCTTTTTGCACTTAAAGAATTGAGGGATACCATTTTATCTTAGATCAACTCTTTTAAAACTTTCAAGGGACTAAAGCTGCAATATAGATCATTACACCAAAACCCACATAGGGGGCAAAAGCACTTTCACCATGGCCGCGCGTCGGGGTGGGGCAGGGCGCGAGCGTGGAAGGGATAAGAATGGGGAGGAGGAAGCGAGGGCAAGCGGCGCGTGTTGGAGTGAGCGGTGGGAGGCGTCCGTCTGAATGGGGATTTGTTTTTTGTTTAGAGCCCGCTCCTGGGGAGCCACATCTAGATGCAGTCACGGACGGGCGTCCTGATAGGAGCATTATCGTATTATATTCAGAAGTCACCAATACCAACCATGTACAATATCTACATAACCACATTTGCTTTTGATATAGCAATCTAAAAAAATAAAGAAAAGATCCATGCCCTCCCCACTAGACGTGTTGAAAGGTCGAGATGGCGACTAGAGGGGGGGTGAATAGTCCTTTTTAAAACTTAATCGCGTCGGCTAACCGAAACAAGTGCGGAATTAAAACTATCGGTCTAGTCAAGACTACACCCCTCTATCTATGTTCTTTAGCACCTTTCAAATATACTAATTAAGCAATTAAGATGCCGGGCTAGCTAGAGCTCACCTAAGCAATTCTAGGAGCAAGGTCACACAAACCTATGCCACTAGTACTTTAAGCGACAAGAGAGCTCCTACACATGCTAGTAAGCAAAAGCACAAAGCCACCTAAGCTCACTAGCAATGCTCAATAACAAGGCAACCAATGCCAAATTAGAGAGCGCAAATACTTAGCTACACAAACTAAGCAATGTGACTAACAAGGTTACTCAAACCAAATTAGCCACGCAAGAGAGCTACTTCTATGCTACACAAGCAAGAAGGTAACTAATATGCTACACAAGCAAACTAATTACAAGAGCAACTATACAAGCTTAATATATATGAAAGTAAATGCAAGCTTGTGTAATGGGGATGCAAACCAACGGAAAGAACAAGGTTGACACGATGATTTTTCTCCCGATGTTCATGTGTTTGCCAACACGCTAGTCCCTGTTGTGTCGACCGCTCACTTGGTGGTTCGATAGCTAATTAGCATCACCCGCTAAGCCCGCACGTCGGGCGCCGCAAGAACCTACCCCTTGAGTGAGGGTAGCTCAATGACACGCTTTACTAGAGTTGCTCTTCGCGGCTCCCGCGGGGCGAGCACAATGCCCCTCACAAGCACTTCTCCGGAGCGCCGCACAAGCTTCTTGCGGGCTTCGACGGAGACCACCACCAAGCCGTCTAGGAGGTGGCAACCTCAAGAGTAACAAGCACCACCGGCTTACAACTCGATCACCTAGTGCCACTCGATGCAACCTCACGATGCAATCGCACTAGAATCATTCACTCACACAATCGAATGATCACTATCAAGTATATGTGTGATGGAGGGCTCCTAAGCATGGACACTAAGTCCCCTTAGGTGCTCAACACTCGCCATGGCCAAGGGCCACTTCTATTTATAGCCCCAAGGGCTAAACTAGCCGTTACCCATTCACTGGGCAAAAGTCGGGACGACCGGACGCTCTAGTCCGATCGACCGGACGCTGGACCACAGCGTCCGGTCACGCGATACTCGCCACGTGTCCCCTCCTTCAAACGTTGTTCATCCGATCTCAACGGTCATCTGACGACCGGACGCAGCAGCTTCAACTGAACGGACGCTGAGCCTCCAGCGTCCGGTCGTTTCCAGTAAGGTTCCAGAAATGACATTTCACGACCGGACGCGTCCGGTCGATCGCGATCGGACGCAGCACCAGCGTCCGGTCACTCTCCAGCTTCTGCTCTGCCTGCGTCACCATACGTCAGCTCTGACCGGACGCAGGACCCCAGCGTCCGGTCACTACGTGACCAGCATCCGGTCCACTCTGTGAGACCCTGTCTTTTCTGTCTAGGGCGCTGGTGGCACCGTCGGACTGTCCGCACTCTACGGGCAGACACTCCGCCGGTGGAGTTTCTCCTTTCGCCTCCATTTCTTCACCGAGTTGATCCACATCAAGTCCAACTTCATCTCCTTTGTAAATGTGCCAACCTCACCAAGTGTACACCACCATGTGTATGTGTGTTAGCATTTTCACAATTATTTTTCAAAGGATTAGCCACTCAACTTGTCACGCCACTCGATCCTATCAACGATGCAAAGTTAGATCACTCGAGTGGCACTAGATGACCGATATGCAAACAAGTTTGCCCCTCTTGATAGTACGGCCATCTATCCTAAATCCGGTCATAAACTT